GACAGGCAGCGCCGAAGACTGATAATCCAGCCACAGCATCTTTGGGGGGGCTGAGGGGGAGCAGTGTGGGCTGCCTGCGCAGCTAGGATGGGGCAGGATGCGGCCCACCTTGTCTCCCAGCTGGGTGGTTCGGTAGTTAACAAAACATGCCCCTTGATGAGCCGTCTGTGCTATAAACGGCACGTATAGGGCCCATGCGCACCTTCCAGAGCAGATCTGTGCTCCTGCCTGGGGCAGAGCAGACCGCGTGGCCTCCTAGTTCGGGCTGTGGGGCTGCCTCCCCAGTCCCAGCCTCTGTCTGCCAGCCGCTGGGACATTGGGGTGCCGGCTGAAGCTCCCCACTCTGGCATGTGTTTCCTCATGCATGGGCCGCCTGCCCCGTACAGGCGACAGGGAGTGGGCTCCAGGCAGTTGATATCTGCTGCATTTTCATACCTGTTGCTTGGGAAGTGGAACAGAGTCCTTGAACGCTCCTCTGCCGTGTGGTGTGTGCAGTGGAGGGGCTGCTCCAAGGGCACCTGTGCTCCCCCGTCCCTCCAGGTAACATGGCAAGCTGGTGCTCACATCCAGCAGGCAGGTTTGCTGGCGTTCCAGTAGAGAGAGCTCTCCTTGAACCATTTTCTTGCACTCTGTGAGCTGTGCTGTCTGTGGACTCACTGGGCGTCATTCTGGTCTCTGCAGGTTGAGACTCTGAAGGAGGCCGTCTTCCCACGCAGCAATGGCACCCACACTCGCCACTGCCCATCGCCGGCGCTGGTGGATGGCGTTCACAGCCATCATTGAGAACCTGCTCTTCTCTGCTGTCCTGCTGGGCTGGGGCTCCCTCCTCATCATGCTGAAAGCAGAAGGGTTTTATTCCTACCTGTGCCATGAGACAGGTAAGGATGCTCTGGAGACTTGGGAATAAGTTTGCTGATGTGGTTCCCGGCCTTAGGGTGGTGGGGATCTGGCTAGAGCAGCGCTGAGATTCAGGTCACTCCTGGAGGTGTGTGAGCCACTTTTCAAAACCAACGGCATCCTTGGGATGATGTAGTGTGCCTGTAGTTGCTGTTGCTTTGCAGAGTGGGAAAACAAGCCTTAAAGACGAGGTAAAGCTTTTCTGGAAAGCCTTTTCCCCTTGGCTGTGAGTTCTTCCTCTGCATGGTGGCCTGGCTGATCTCTGCAAGGGGTGGGTTCTGAAAGGTGACGATTTGTAGGACGAAACTCTAGGCACTCCTTCCATAGTGCTAAGAGAGAAGAATGTGGGTAACAGTAAAATTTGGGGAGTCCAGTGCTGCTGTTGAGAAGCTGCAGAAGTAAATTCTGCTGATGTTTTGTTCCTCTGCCTCTGCGAACACCCAGGGTGTACTCAAACCAGGCTGTGCCTCTGGAGGCTTGAGATCCACCTCCTGGCCCAGCCAGAGGAAGAGGTTGTCCATGTTGCACGCACAGCCTGGCAGGGAAGGAGGCAATCTTGTGGTGTGGGAAGGATAACCCTGGGAAAAAACAACATGTAGGTGGATGTATATCCCAGCCTGGGCACGGAGAGAATTGTGGTTTGGGGAATCCCACAGTGTGGCAGGGTGGACAGTGAGGTTAAAAGGAACCTGAGGGTAAAGGTGTGGCATGGATTTTGAAATCTGCTTTAATGACAGAAGGTTTGCGGGTGCTCAGAGAAGGGAGGGGTGGCAGGAGCTAGGTGTTTGGGCTCTGTCCAGAGATGGGTGGTGGTGGATGAGAAGGCGAATCAGCTCGTTCAAGGTGAGCATGGGAGTGGAGGAGGAAGCAGCAAGGAAAGAAAAGAGTTGGAAATGGGTGCGTGGACCCTCTGAGTAACGGCTGAGAATGGTGGGGAAACAGAGTCCAAGCAAAAAGTGACTGTGAATAGTTGTGATGATACTTTAACTCATTCATCAGCTGCTTGTTATGTTCTTCTCTGCTTTGTGTGCCCGTGGGTGGCTGCCTCAGTCTTGAAGGTGCATGAGCCCAGGCTCTGGCAAACATGCACATGTCGGAGCCTTCTACCAGTGGTAGCTTGGCTGCTTAATCTCTACCCTATGGAGTTTGTAGCACCTGTAGTGTGATGTGTCCAAGTGTGTCCGTGTCACTTGTGTCTCAGTGCTCCAGACTGCATGAGGGAGAGGCTGGAGACCGCCAGGACTTCTGTTGGAGGCTGCTCTGTTCTGGCCAAGCCACGGTGACTTTGTCACAGGCCTGTGTAAGAGATCAATCACCCTATCAGGTGGAGGCTTTCTGCCGCCAAGATAACATGAGAGTTGATAAGCAAATGCTGATGATCTCTGGAAGCAGCTGTTTTCTTATCTGCTTCCTGAGATGTGCACTGCTGACCAAAGCCCCCACTTCACTTGGGGCCCATCCCCTACTCCTACCTTTGATTGCTTTCCATTCATCTACCTTTGTCCCAGATCAGCGAGATTCACCTCTGCTTCTCAGTGTTTGCCAATCTGTGGTTTGTCTGGCTCTCCCCATGGGAGTGCCCCTGCCACAGACCGCAGGGAAGATCCAAATGTTTGGATAGTGTCGAAATTGCTGTCCTGGGGGCAATTTTTTCCTCTCAGTGACCAACCTGTGCCCCGAGGCAGGAGAACTTAAGCCCTGAAAAGAAATTTAAGTAGTCAAATGTTCTCATTGTCCTCAACTATCTGGCCATAGCTGCTGAACTGGTGATGGCTTGTGGTGAGCCTTGAGGACCAGTTATGCTGGTTTCCTCCTTCCTCCATGCTGACTTGCTTTTCTCTGGTTTTCTTCTCATTGTAACAATCTCATCAGTTTGGCAGGGAAGATTCCTAGCCCCAAGTGTGGGGAGAGCAGACTCACAGCGGTCGCTGAGTGAGCGTCACCGAGCTGAATTTGACCTTTGCTGGGGTTAGGGTGGTCCAGTGGTTGGCCGTTCTCGGCATAACCTATTGAATCCTGCAGCCCCCAGTGGGTACTTGGCTGGAAGGTTGGTGCAAACAAATTACGAGTAGCCTTTGGGCATTTGTTGTGGCTAATGCTGCTGTGTGCATGTAAGTGTTGCAAAAAAGACTTTTCCTAACGAGCCAAAGGTTCTTGGCAGGGCTTTTTGTTTGTCAGCAAAAGCTCTTGCTCTTTGTGATGCCTTCAACGAGAGAGAACTAGACCTTGTCCCTTCTGCAGGCCCTTCTCTGAAGGTAGCAGCAGCTGCCCAGAAAGTGACTGCAGTTGGTGAAGGGCTCCTTGTCTGCCTGCTGAATCCCCGCTTTCCCTGCCTGCCCTTGGCTTTTGGTGCTGGGTTTAACTCAGGCACCGTGCAGACATGTGGGGTCTGTAACTATGGGCCACAGCTCGGTTGTGTGAGGCTGGAGATGAACACCTAGAAAAAAAATCCATGTTAAAATAACAAATATTTTTAAAGCAATTGTGCAACCACAGGGTTTGGGTGGGGGGTTATAGCCGTTCCAGGTGGCAGGTTTGGCCACATCCTGAGAGGTATGCTTGAAATTTGCTGACAAGGAGTCTCGTAGTGGCACTTTGTTCCCATTTTAATTTTACTACACTACTACTTGGCCTTTAACCAACTGAAGCAGCATCTTTTATTCAGTGCAAGTGCTGATTCTGCAGGCTTTATCAGGATTCGGGCCTTATCAGCTGTTGGGGAACTTGATCCGTACAGGGCCTTGTGTTGCTGCAATGTTGCTGGGATTGGGAAGCTCAAAGTTTGGGTCTGAGATGCGTCTAAAAAAAAAAATCTTGAACTTAATCTGCTCACAAAGAGCAGAGATAAGGAGCTGCTTGGACAGAGGGCCTTCCCCTGAAACTGGGCTGCACAAAACCAAAGGAAAAGAAACTAATTCCCTTACAACAGGTTAACGTGCCTTAACGTGGCCATAGGAGGAAGGTGCTGCCTTGCAGCTCTTTGCTCTTACTTATTTGGGGTCTGTGGTGAGGAGCTTGACGGTCCTTTCCAAGCTGGTAAGATGTGATGACAGTTAGTGGAAAGGCTGCACACATGCTGCTGTAAACAGGAAAAGAGTAGACGTGGTAAATGTTCAGTTTCTACAGGAAACACGCTGCGTTGATTAGCAGCGATCGGTGGTATCGGAGAGCTGCACGGGAAGGCGCCGGCACGGGCGCGAATTGCTGCAAAATGAAACCACAGCTGGGGAGCGAATGGGACTGTGCTCGGCTGTGAGGCTTGCAGCTGGGTGCCCGGAGAGGGGGTCCTGGAAGTGCAAGTGGGGGCACAGGCAGAGAGGGAAACCCGAATAAATTGCATTTGCAGTGGTATAAAGCGAGAACATCTCCTCCCAGTTCCCAGAAGTATGACACCATCCTGAAAAGAGAAAACATGTTCTTATGTGGGCAGACTGCAGATCAGTTGTTTCCACGTCTTTCACTCTGATTTTTTTTTTTTTTTTAACCCAATGATCCCAGACTCTTTGGCCCTGATTTCTTCCCCTAGTTTTTTTCTTTTAAAGTGGAAGGTGAGGCTGTGTAGGCTGTGTCCCACAGAGCTACTGCCAGGGCGGCTGGGGGTGTCTTGCCTGCTTGGCTCAGTGTGATCCATGAAACAAGATGAAAGGAAACTCCTCTCTGCCGCCTGAGATGGCAGTCACTCTTGAAAGAGCCAGACTTGTTCCCCTGGTAATGTGGTGTGAGCCTGGGATTTGAAGAGGTCAGTAAAGAGTAGTTAATGATTGACCCTCTCATGAAACCTACAGCGCTTAATTTGGGAGAAAGGATGACTTTAAATGTTCCAGTAACAGCCTGAACAAATCCCAGTGATGGGCTTGACATAAATGATTACCGAGACAGCCTTCCTCTCACCTAAGCTGTCATTCTTTAAATAGTAACTTGAACTACTAATTG